CCACGTTGGGCTGAGGCTCTTTTTGACAGGGCTGGTGGTGTATGTTTGATCGGCGTCAACGGAGACGACAGCGAATGGGTCTGGGAGACTGAAAACCTCTCGTTTCACGAGAGAGTTGGCGGTAAGGACTGGAGCGCTGATGTGAGCAGACATGGCGGCACAGATAAGCATGGTATCACTGACCAGTAATTCGAACTGTCTTAGATTGTTCCTCGTTCGACATCTAGAGCAGCCGACGTATGTGCTCGTCAGTGGTAGCGACTAAGAGTGGAGGTAGCGCCAGGACGGTAATCTTGCTGATTGGGGGAACGGAGAAAGAGGGTAACTTTGACTTTCTTGGATTGAGCGGAAGTATTCCTTGAGCGCTATGCTGTGGAGATGGCAATGACCATAAGACAACGAGATTAAACGGATTTAGCAGTCCGGTCAATACTGACCAATGTTAGAGAAAGATATACAAAATACTTATTATATGGAACTCGACGAACTCGATGGAGACGACCAACGCAAGACCAGCTGCGGGCAAAGTTAGTTGCAGACCCACGCAGGCGCAACTTGGAACATGCTGTAAGCTGCCTGTAAGCTTTTATTCATCCTGTATTCATTACGTAGCCGTTCCCCCGATCCTTTCGCTGCCCTGCCGACTGCACGCTCTAAGTATCCATGCCCCATCGCACAAGTAACAAAGAACTTCTTATCATAAGGCGAGAACACCGTAACTTTTACTGTAATTTATGAATCAAAGCGTAACTTAACGCTTCCGCAGGTGATCCGTCGGCTCCATGTAATCAAATATACGGCCAAGATAATATCCTGCTCCAGAAAGAGAGGCCGCTTTGGCACATACAGCATAGACACGAAGATAGCGCGGATCCGGTATGCGGAAGGTAGTGGTAGTAACAGTAGGAGGAAGACCCCAGGCTCCTGGCTGCCAATATGATATCTATATTTGGTATGGTCTATAGTAGTTGGAGCGTCAATCAGTCATCCACCCCCCGCACAACGCACCGCATCTTCCTCGAACCAAACGAGGAGTTCATCAAAAAAAACAGCGGATGTCCATCCCAATCGTCAAGATAATGGATGTTAGCACCCTGGAGTTTTTCGGTCATCGCAATCCCTCCAAAACGCTCTATGATACCGATGTAGTATAGTCATGCTGGATTCACGGTGTGCAGTAAGAAGTAATTGGCAATCAAGCAAAGTCATACATTTGGACATCCTTCATCATCACCAAAAATCATTTCGTTGGAGGGAAAATATGAAGAGCCTCAGTGGGGACCACTCGAACGCCCTGGGCGGAAGCCTTTGCAACCCCGCACTTTGTTTTGGGGTCTTCTTTGTAGCTCCTCCACTCGTAACCCCCATTGATGAGGCAGCGATATTCATCACGAGCGAGGGCCTGAATGTAATACTTAATTATGATACAAGTTGCATAACAAGATGCGACACACTCACCTGGAGTTTTGCCGCCCGTGATGCTTCTCCCGATGCGAATATCCCGACGTTTCCTGAACCTTGTCAGATGACGGACTTGAACAGTCCTCGGACGATACATGGGTCGCATCATGGGTAGTCTCGACTGTAAGTTCGAAATGTCAAGTTCACGAACAATGCAACAGCTTTGACAGGTACTCACAGTAACAGATTAGTAGATGATCTCCGTAATGTTTTGCAAGGTCGACAAGCATGACATCGTCGGTACAGCTAAGGATTTCATTCCCAATGTGGTCACGTCCGCTGGCGACCAGCGCATGGGTTAGCAAATAGCCAAGTCTCGCGCATACCAGGCCGGTGGTTGGGACTTGAGGTTGGGAGCTCGACCTTCGAAGATGATACATGGGTCATATGCATCATGTATACTGCGCATGGAGTCCATACGGATTTGGGGGAAGAGGCACCAGCTTATCCATATCTAAGACGGGTAAAACTGTTTGGTGTTCAAGCACATCGATAGGGGTCATTGTTCGGCATTCGCCGGCAACTTAGACTGACCCGATGATCGCACACTGAAACTTAAAAAATGTTAGAATCAAAGTTGAACTCAACTTCTGTGTCGCATTTGCTATCATCGATAAATTAATATGGAGGACCCCGCATTTGTACTAAAAGAAGGTATGTTACATTACTGAGAACTTAGCGAACTGACTGGGTAAGCGAAGCCCCAGTCAGAAGCGTCCAGCTGAGCGCCATTGAGACTGACCACCGCCTTAGTTCCCGCCGCAGACGCCCGTCTCCGAGGATAAGGGCCTGTCAGCAAGACTAGAGGGCGGCTAGTAGGGCGGGGGGGAATGAGCGGTTTCGAACCTAAAGTTCTCATCAGGGGGCTTACCGCTACCCCAACCGCTCGTACTTCTCGTTATCGTGTAGGAATGCTACTGCTAAGCCCATATATGCAACAGGAGTAAATGGTCCGCTCCTCACTGCAACCGCCACCTTAGGGCCGGTCAGGGGATGCGAACTCATGACCTGCTGCCAGGGCAGTTCACAGGTTGGGGCGGAGAGGGTTGGGGCTGTGGCGGAATCTTCGCATCCAAGATCCGGTATCACGCGAGCCTTTAGCTCCTGTCCGTACATCGCGAGGCCCCACATCATCGGGACGCGGCCGCGCTCTTTCGAGATCGGGCCGAGATATGTCGATTCCATGCGAATATGCGACGAAGCTGGACGGTATGAGTTTCAAGAAAGACGCGCAATCAATGTCGTATATACAGAACTGCCAACATAGCGACCGCCAGTCCATTTCCAGCCACTATAATACTATTCATGCTGGCGTTCCGGATTATGAGCGACGAGGAGTGACTTGTTCCACTGAATAGTCCATTCAATGCAGAGCTCGTATCAGTCGATGAGTAAACTTACCAGTACCAGTAGCACGCGGAGACCTGACGTTCAAGGTCGGGCTACCGACAACCGTGCCAGGGCCGAAATACATGCCACGCTCACGCCTCATGGCGTGACTTGTTTGCGGCGGGTAAACTCTTGTGGACTGTGGTCGCTGTGGTCGGAACCCGTCCTCAGGAAAAGAATATGCTAGAGCCTTGATCAGAATACAACCTCGAAATGTTCAGGAGTATATCACTCACTTGCTCCAGTCGCATCCTCTGAGTCAATGTTGAATGTGGGTGACCCAACGGACGAATTTGAGTCGAACACCATGCAGTTTATGTCGTGAGACGGCTGTGCACGAGGACTATCCTGAACCGTGGATGGCACTTTATGGCGTCAACGTTGAACTGGTAGGTCGGGACATTATCCACATACCCGCGGAGGCATTCGAGGTAGTCTGCTGGGATGAAGAAGTCCAGGCGGAGTCCGCGAGACTAGCTGTATCGGTTGAAGCCTCGGATGAAGCCTCCCAGCCATTACTAGTAGCAGTCATCATGGTGGTGTTGGACTGAGCCGACATGGGACGTTCAGATGATAGTGTCCTATTAGTGGAGCCGGGTTCAACCAGTTCACTAGATGGTTCGCCAGTTTCAGTAGTAGCTGGCGTCCGACACTCAGTCTTCTGCGGCAACGACGTGGATAGCACCTACCTAGAGTTACTGGTGTTACCGGGCTATCCTGTTCTTTTGAGGCTGATGAAGTAAAAAAAGGATTTTAAGTAGGCAAACATGATGCAGCGGTATAAGTAATCTTATGATCTAGTGATCTGGTGAATTATTAAAAGTGTGTTGATGGGTACTACTCACCTCTAACTAGTCCCGCATTTATACTTCTGCAAGACCAGCAACAACCGCCAGTGGTGTTTGGCCTTGGGCTTTGATCATAGCATTGGAGAACAATAAACCCATAGGCAGTCACTGTAACGGAAAATGATCATGATGGCAGTTCAAAGGCAATGTATAATATTACCACACCGTTACAAAGTCACAAGGGCCCACAAGAGCCCACAAATCAAGATACAAGGTGCCATCTAAACGTCAACAGTAGTTGCAGAACGCCAAATTTCAACTCAAGCTCCTCTGCACTCGCTTATTTGGCGGGATCCCGGTGTTCGACATGCTACCCCGGGCAGCATAATCTGCCGTAACTTACGAAGGAGTTGTGCCATCAACGCGGTGGTGAGTAAGAACATACCTGAGGACTATGCATATCCGGGCCCGCGTGGTCGCATCGAACCCAGAGTACATGTTATGCGCAAAAGAAATGTCGCAGGATACTATTCGCATGATAGGATGCACTGACGGCAACATAGCCTCGTTGGTGTGTATCCCGGCGTGCGTTAAGTACCAGCTTGGAGACAGCAAACGCAATCATTGCAGCAATGGACGTAGAATCCCTTGGCCAATGTTGCCAGCTCGACTGATGCTGATAATCATACGGATATTGTTCACCCTCGCATCATTGAGAAATTCAAACAAGGACATCCTATCATAAAGAAGCTGATCAATGACAGCTATCTTCCTTCTATAATTGGTCTGCCCAGGGCAAAGTAACTTGAAATATTTGAACATGAGCTCAAATCTGGACTATCCTTTTTCTTTAGCACAGGTCGCCGCTTGTATCTCTGACTCACCTTAGTAACTTTACGTGGTACTCTGAGCGCTGGAAGATCAATGTGGCACAGCCAAACTGACAATTCAAGTATTACTTCCGACGTGGGGGTACCTGATTGAAATATGTCATCGAGGAACTCCGAACGCGCGCGGAGTTGACAGAGAGATGCTTGAGGAAATTACGCGGAGTTGTAAGCGGTAGTAATACTAGTGCAAACTTATCGACTTGCGCACCCTAGTATTCGGACAGCTTAAGCTTAGCATAGTAAGTATATTATATCACGATAACCAGCTGCAGGTATATACCTTGGCAAATTTCATCGACTCCCACCGATAATATCTTCCACCTCCTTGTCGGGCTATGCGCGACAAACGCTCTTAAGTCGCATCGATCAAACCAATTATATCGCAGCCAAAATACCATAGTCGGGATCACCGTACTCGTACACGATTCTGTCTCGTGCGCCGAGATATGTTTGCGGGCGTCTTCAAACTTCGCCCCTCCTGATATGCATTGTCGTACAGTACGAAACAGTCGTCATCGGAGGTACGGTATATACAGTGTCTAGACGTAAAACATGATAATCATCATAGTATGCATGCACGACATGGTAAAGTAGTCAAAGTTGAAAACGATGAGGTATACGACGCCATAATGGATGGTCCGTAGACAAAACTCAAAAATCGACAGCGTTAGTGGCGAGGAGCTGAAACACATGATTAGATAGATAACCCCAATAGAAGATGAATGAGGAAAGTACGAACACGACCCTTGGTTATGTGACCCACCATGGTTTAAAGTTGGTGTGTGGATGGCAGATCTCGAGGCAACGTAGCTATTGTTGAAAATGAAATAGTTATTACCAGATCCCGACGAAGATGCTCCGGAAAGACGAGAAGTGCTTGGTGATGCAGCTCCATCATTGCTGGCTGCTGAGTCTACAGTCGAACTGTGTTCAGCGCTCACACTAATTCCAGCTTATGATTGATGCACATGAGTATAGGGACAGCAAGCAGATATGACATTGTTCTTACAATCATCTTCTACTTGGTGCTCATCGGCAAAAGGGTTTCCCTCAGGAAGCAGGTCCACCTGAGATGCAATGAAACTCGCAGCTTCGTTGAAAAATGAAGCCGCGGATTCGTCCAATGGCGACTCCAGTTGAACAGCGATTCCGCTAATGTGAGCGTCAGACGGCAAGTCGTCATCTGGGTAAACATTGAGCTCAGCCAATCTAGCAGAACAAGCAGGAATGTACACAGACACTGTACACGCTCAACGTTTGTTGAGGTAACAGAGAGTAATTGCCTTCTCATCCTCTCTGACGTGGACTGCATAACTGCATCAGAGTTTGTTCAAATGCACAGAGCAGGTTGGTATTACCCTGGTTTTCGTGTACAACGTTTTCCCTGCTTCCGCGAGCAACCGAGTTGAACGATATGCCGAGAATAGTTTCACCGGGTTGAATGATTTCCTTTGGGTTTCCAGTCTCTCCCGTTCGAGGACCAGCCTGAAATGTGATATATCAAAAGGCTTGCATGAGCATGCATTCGAGAAGACATACTTGTCATAAGAGACCTTCGTCGCGGTAACTATATCTCGGACCTGTGTCGGATCAGCGGCCATCTGGCGTATCTTGAAAACCTCGTCCAGCGTGGCTTCAAGGACTACATCAACTTGCGCTAGAGAACTTTTATCCTTCAGTCTCATGAGAGGGAAGATCGATTGGTCATATTGAGCAGGCGTGCCAAGGTTTACAGGAATGACGAAGGTTCGACGATCTGGCTCAGAGGGCATAGTTTTCTGGGTGATAATCACCAATCGCACAGTCTTCAGTGCATTTAAGTACTTGCGCAACAAGGTGGTTGTTCATGGAAATTAAATGCTGAAAATAAAACGGATTGTGCATGGCCTAGGAGTGATCAAATGGTTTCTGGGGGTCGACGATTGTAATCTTGAATTTTAATGGTTCGTGTATATGCACATATAGTAACATAGTTCACATACTTGGTGAGATGCATATGGATCCATGTGTACGTATGTTTATTCGCCCTCCAAATCGAAGTGCACTGGTACTGCTGTTAATTTGTACCTCAACCTGCATGGGCAACACTTTGACTTCGAGGGACAAGAGTCCGAAGACCAAGACCAAGACAGAACGCAAGGCCGCAGAGGCGATAGAACTTGAGCGACGCAAGGCTCTCAGAGCTCAAAGAGAGTTCGAAGCTTTTGGAGCGGAACGCGAACAGAGACCAGGAGTTTTGTCTGTATACGAAGTCTGGTGGTGTCAACAATATCAATGGCTAAAGGCTCAAGGGTACTTACTCCGTCCTCGATACGCTCCGGGATGGGTACCATCATGGGAGGGTTCACGGCGTCACCCTTTTACTTGTGAAGATGGTCACGTTTCCGAAGTGAGGCAAACAAGAGTTTGACTGCACCGCCAAGCGACTGACAATTTCACAGTTTGCTCAGATCATTGATGCGACTCGTATGTCTGATGGCTTGTCTATTTCTCTCAAAGTGGTGGACAAATCGGTATACCCTCACGAGGCAGATATCGGACAATATTTTATGATGGAGCACCTTGCCTCCGATCCCAATAACCACTGTGTCCCCTTTCTCGACGTACTATCAGTGCCGAACGAGGAGGATAAGCAAATTATCGTGATGCCTCTGTTGCTTGATTTTACCAGGCCTCGATTCGATACCGTCGGCGAGGTGGTGGAATGTCTAAGACAGTTATTCGAAGTAAGTACAATTACTGCTGAATTCGATATCGTCCCAGTAATTTATTACAGGGCTTATTTTTCATGCACAATAACCACGTAGCGCACCGGTAGGTATTGTGACACTGTTGTCTCAGGTTTTCAACTCATCACAAGACAGCGACTGCATGTCGAGAAATATCATGATGGACGCGAAAGACCTCTACCTTGAACCTTATCACCCTGTCCAGCCTCACATGAAGCGTGACTTCAGTGGCTATGTGAAGCATTTTACTCGCACTCAGCGGCCACCGAAGTACTACCTGATTGACTTCGGCTTATCACGCCGGTATGATGCCACCGATGAAAACCCACTAGAATACCCGATTTTTGGGGGCGACAAATCAGTGCCAGAATTCCAGAAGAATGCCGACGTGCCGATGAATCCCTTCCCCACCGACATCTATTATCTCGGAAACGTTATCAGACAACAGTTCCTGTATGTGAGTACCTGCATGTCTAAACACCTGGAGCTCATTGCTGATAACGGTGACTAAGACTAGATCGGGGCTCGAGTTCTTAAAACCTCTTGTTGACGACATGGTACAGGATGATCCCAGCAGGAGACCTACCATCGAAGTGGTAGTCAGGCGGTTTGACTCGATCCGTCAAAAACTAAGCACATGGAAGCTGCGTTCCCGTGTCATTTCCAAGGAAGACGGTCTTCTTGAAAACATGTATCGTGGAGCTGCACATTGGCGGCGGCGGATAGGCTTTATCGTCAAGCGTGTTTCAGCTATACCCTGCCCTTCGGAATGAAACACGCCTCGTGGGATGCGCACATACTGGGATACGATCATGATGTGAGAAGGCGCTTGAATGTGAAACGCTCTGGGCTGAGGATATGGGATGAAGTCTTGGCCAAGTTCTACCCGCCGGTTGTTCCTGCATGATTAGCACACGTATAATAGGTGTCATGCTTCATTGTTATACATTATTACCCATGAGTTTTAGGTATCATAAGTATGTAAGGTTGCAACAACAACAACAACGACAGATTTGTCCAAAGAGTTGTCCACAAGCGAGCCCTGGGCGTATCTCACCTTCAGGAATGAATGAATCCTGCAATGTACATCTTGAGCACTGTTATTCTTATCACTCGCTTGTGCTGCACCCTCTTCTCATTGATTCATACTGAAGATGTACGCTTGCTATCCACCATGCGCGGAGAGGGAGCTGAGATTATTTTGGTGACAACAATTCGCGGAGTTTAGAATGAGGGGGGTTGTGATCATTGTAAGGCTGTATATACCAGAAGTAATATGAGCTGAACGTTAGTATTGAGGCTGTGGGATCTTGTGTCGAGTATGAAAGGTGTCCGAGGTGCTCGCCCTCGGGCAGCGCCAGAATTTTTTTCGTGACAAGATGTCCCTGCCTTGTAACTTCTACGCAAGAATACATGTACAAGGGTTCTGACAGCGGCGACTTTGTTTTTCGTTAATCATACCCACAAACCAAAACACTCGTTCCCATGTCATTGTCAACGGCGCTGGCTCGCGTGAGGGGTCACTCAGTTTAGCAGTATCGCCCACCATTCGTGATCCAGTTGATCCTGCAGACACTTTGCTTTCAAGTTATTTCTTGCGAATGCGTTAATGACAGTGATTCATAGAGCTGGTCACCGTAGGCCGTACAACGGGATTATACGGGGTACGGTTACCGTACCCGTACCGTCGGTGGTTTCAAGTCGAATTTGACGGTTACGGTGTACGGTCATTTGAGTACCGTACCGTATATCACCGTATGTGTACGGCCGTCATGATGTAGCCGTCTTACGGTACATACGGTTCTGTCAATACAACGCCCAATGTATTCGAGTCGTGACTTGGTGTGGCAGCCACATGCCTTCTTTTGATATCGACGGCGACAAAGACCTACTACTAGCAGCAACGCTGGCAGTACTACTCGAACTGCTCGTTCCTGAACTTCCGACATCCAGCTTCCTCACTAGTAGCCATGACTTCAACAACATGCAGATCACCAACTTACCTGTACGTTTTCTCTCACAATCTATAATAAATGAAGTTCTAATGTTTTTTATGTCCAGAATACCCTGTTGATTCTCGTGCCCGATCCAGGGGGAATTACCACTATGCTCGTCGAAATATGCACAAGCACTGCTCCCTTCCCCTACCTGCGCTTGCTTGCCCCCACCTTTGGAAAACACAACCCCCTCCACGAGCACTTCGAATGGTGAACCTGCCGCTGTCGACCCAGGTTTTCAGGAGGTTCTTGGTCGCGGGAAACGTCCCAAAAACAATGAGCGGATGAATGCGCTTATCCAGGCTGAAGGTGAAGATATCAACAATCCCTCACGCCGCCCTCGCCGTTTTCGTCGTGCCCCCCAAAAGCGAAGTGCTGCTGTCGACCCCGACAATTTTTGATATTGAGTACACCGTATGACATACGGTACGATACGGGTAGTACCCGTATGGCTACCCTACAATTGTACGGCCGTAACTGTATACGGTTACGGTGATCAGCCCTAGTGATTCACATTGGTAATTATTGCACAGAAGATAGTTGGCAGATATGTACCAGAAAATGGCTGAAAGAAATATACTTCAATGAACTTGTGGGCCATTTCGCGCCGTGCACTTCCGAATTAGATATCTAAGAGGGAGATCGGATATTTACAGTACGATGCTGCCATAGCTACTTAGTAAATGTCATGGGTCACTTTTCCTCCTTCTACACTTAGGTCTTGGCTAGCCTACAAGCTTACAACCCAGGGACTCGCACGGAGTTGCAAGTGGCTCTGACTCTCTGACTGTGCAATATCGCAAAGGTATCTATTGGCGCATCAAAATACGAAAACCTTAGCATACATATCACGACAACCAGGTATATAAACAAAACTATAGCTTGGCCTTCCCCTTGACCAACTTAGACATTCCACCGATAATCTCTTCAGCCTCCCTTTCTATGCGCGACAAGAGCTCTTCGCACGTTGGGATGTCATTGATCAAGCCAACTGAAATACCCGCAGTCCAAATCCCATAGTCGGGATCACCGTTCTCGTATACCATTCTGCCTCGTGCGCCTGCGACAAGCTCACGAACGTCTTCAAACTTCGCCCCACCTGGGCGCTGCTCGAGAGCAACGACCTGCGTCGACACTGCATTCTTGAAAACGCGCGCGGTGTTATTCAAGGTACGGAATATGTGGATGGTATCTTGTTCACTGGAGGCGACCATCTTCTCTTTGATGTTTTGGTGGATAGGGCTGGAAAGCACAGGTGAGATGGGTATAAAGTTACCATACGATCAACGCACCTTTCAACCGTGCACAAGAATCGTGTGCCCATGTTCACTCCCTGTGCGTGCAGGTCGTAAATGAAATTTATCATGATGAGACATTAAGGCACTTACAGCGGCACCGAGTGCGAGGGAAGCGGCCAATCCACGGCCATCGGCGATACCGCCCGATGCAATGTAGGGTATCTTGAGTTCTTGCGCGGATCTTGCAAGCTGCGAATAGTCAGTAATGGTATAAATGAC